GTTTGGGTTCGAAATTAGACGAATTTGAGTCTGCAGCATTGGGCAAAGACTCCGACTCTCCAGCGAGACCCTTGAGACGGCCGGAACTGGCCGACTTTGAAAGACGAAAGGATATTGCAGCTGTATTTAATTTTTTATTAGAAACGGTGTCGTTTGTAGGTTTCGCGACCGTGGGTGCTTGTTCATTTTTCGGAGACCCTAAAAGGTAATTATAGGACGAACTAAATAAACAGGAAAACAGCAGGACTTCTATAGGTATCGTGCATATTGTTTTGTCATTAAAAACTAAAAAAATGTGGTCGGCAGAGCCATTCATGTGAGCGGTTCTGCAATATTTGTGAGAGAAGTTTTGAATCAAGTATATCTGGAACTTCAGTAAGCACTATATTAGATAAAACAGCTAAGTGACAACCCGTTTTAAATAAATTAACAGAATGAACGGAACACGTATTGAGGCTGTTAGTGGCAGCAGTTGACAAGTATGAACAATCTAACAATACTTGATGTGGCAAACAGTTGGTTTTACGGAGTAATTAAGAAACTATAATTTATAGTAAAATATTACTGACAGCGGCAAAAGCACTAAATCTTCTTTTTGAGTTTCCGCTTACCTACTGCAAGCTTCTCCGTAGAGAAGTGTTTGATTGCGGATTCTTTTGCTCTGCTCGCCATTATCTCCGCCTTCTTGGACTGGTAGTATGCATGGAATAGATGACCTGGTCGAAGGAATGCCAGGCGTGGGTCACCTTTTTTCTGATTTTTAACGATTTCCTCGAACTCTTCACCATTGCGTGCCACATACTCAGCCATTTTGTCAATAATAACACGCTGTTCTACTGAAGGAGAATTGCTAAAATAAAAATAAAAAGTACTGAAGAGTATAGAAGTTCAGAATGACCGAAATGGTTGTAGATACCACCGGAAAGTGGCGTCAAAATAGGATATATAAGTGGGTGCCCTTCCTGATAGTACAAGGCCACCTGCATTATGGGGCCCTATTACCATATCTTACTGCTCAAAATAACTTCTTTTGAGAATGTATAATAGCTTCGAGCGACTTGATGGACGTGGGTATTGCGAACCGTAATGAGTACATAAAGCAGACCAGCGACTATTGGAAACCAGCCAAAAAGAAGCATCTCGTAGCTAGCGTACCTTGATTGATGAATTGCGTTGACAGCCGATGAAGCCGCTGTGGCAGCAGCCTTAGCTGCCTCTTGCACCAGGCTGGCGGACTCCTCGGGGCTCAGATCAGACGTCAGTTTCTTACTACCCACACGATTTCGTGCCAGCTGGATATAGTAGTAGGCATAGTAGTGTTTATAATAGTTTTGGTAGCATTGCTCGTAGTCTAAGGCAGAGAAACCGTTTGATTTGGATGATGCCGAAAGGTCGTTGCCCTCTGACAACGGTTTTTCGGATAAGGCAGGTTCGTTTTGACCAGAGGTGGAATTATGAAATTCTTCCCCAGACTGAGAAGGCGATGCGGGAGAGGCTGCGTCTTTGGGAGATTCGGCAGCGGCAGACGAAGCTGGGCTTAAAGCTGCCAATCTAAGATGTAAAGAGTGAAGGTACTAAATAATTACCAGGGTCCGAGTAAAGATAACAAAATGGTGATATTTCAACAATGCACTATTAAACCAGTTTAAGAATAAGAAGCAGGAAAAAGTTTACAGGCGTTAAGATGGGAAAACCAAAAACAAATGATTATTTATCGAGCTTTTGTAACCGTTCAGTTGATTATATATGATTTTTTTCTTTTTGTCCAAAACGGTCTTCGGCGAGTTAAACTAGGGTGCATACAACTTGGCCCTTTTGTAATTAAAAACCGGTTAAATCGTGGCTGGCAAGTATACGAAACAGGACTTTTTCTTATAGATCCATATTTAGAAGATGAACATATTTTCCACTCTGGTGGATTGTCAAAAAAAGCATAAAATCGGATGTCCTGGGCGATTCACGCACATAGCGCGTTAACTCTATGACGGAAGCATTCATGTCGTGGTGTTTGTATTTAGGCGGGGGGGGGGCACGCAGAGTAAGTGGTACGCGCAGACGAACTCAGTAGATATATCAGCATATGGGCCCGTTACCCGCACCAGTCCACTAATCGGCTGGGACCTGGAACTGGGAATAGGAGGATTGGGGTCGACGGCTCAGAGCGTTTTCCTCACTAAACAATCTGAAGCACATGAAACTAACACGGCACGCTAAGCCATGGCTTGGAAGTTTGTCAACTAACGCGAAAACTCGGACCGCGCAGTCAGTATAGTGTTTTTTGTGGGGTGGCCGAATGGCGAGCTGATGTTCAGGTTGCAATGTCTCTTTGTTAATATGGCCTCTGTAACACTCCCATTTCATGGATCCAAGATAGATGTGGCTACACGCATATGGGGGGGAAGGGCTTCGATCGCACCAGACACCTGTGCCCTCTCGCG